AAATTTCACTTCTGGCCCTTGAATGCATGATTTCTCTTTAACTTGATGACCACAGCCATGGGGTATCTTGGGAGAAGCATCTTCAGGAGTGTTTCCTTTGTTCTGTACACAGCTCAGAATGGCTGGTTGGAAGGTGAAAATCCACCACTTAGCTGCTCCTTGTGTATTTGCTGCCCTCTCTGTCAATGTGTGCATGCATGTTTGTGTACACGTATGTTTGTGTACACGTATGTTTGCATGTGTACCCATGTGCACACATGTTAACTGACTACATGTGGCCTCCATCGTGCTGTTCACCAGTCACCTCTTTGTGCAAGTGCTGAGGTCAGCACAGGAGCTAAAAACTTTGCAATGTGTAGAAAATTCAGTAGCTCTTATATCTTAAAAACAGAATAATACATTTTGTTTAGTTTAGGTTGAAGCAAGAGAGGTCATTGTTATGACAGGTAATTTTATAAATATTATTTTGACACATACTATAACGTGCCAGAGGCAGAAAACCCATGCAGTGGAACATGTAAAGTATTTAAAATTACTTTTCTTAAAGTGAACTTCATATTTTAAATAATAGATGTTTACCTCCCAGGTTAAACCTCAGCTAGTTCCATTTTCACTGAAATGGCATTTTTTTTTTTAAAGATAAAGTTATACCTCTGTTTCACTGCATTGCACACACTGTCAGAGAATGGCCACATTCAGAGTCCCAGGAGAATTTTAAATTGTCAGTTAAAAGTCAGTCTGACCTCAGCCAGGCTTGAGTGTAGGGCGTGGGGGCTGTTTCCCAGCCACCATGGAGGGTGTCTTGCCCACCTAAGAGCTGGTTTTGGTTAGACTCCGTTACATATTCTTTTTATGGAATTATGTTTTGGAATATGGAATACTACATGGCAAAATTTACCTCCTAATCAAGCTCTGCTTTTCTTTTAACATTTCCCATTGTAAAGTTCACTAATTGGTAAAAAACTGAGACCACACTCCCAAGAGTGGGGGGTACTGGACAGGAGTCCCTAGTTCTCTCATCCGAAACATGATTTCATGTAGAGGGTTTAGTTCAAAAGGGGCAAGCATTTCGTTCCTACAGAATTAAGCAATATTAGTAGTGATCACTTTGAAATGAGTGTGGCTTGTGGTAGACGTGGTTTATGTGGTGTCTGGCACAGGCATGTGGCCAGGCACATGGTACCTGGGACTAGGTCACAGACAGGGAAGGGTGGAGATGGGGCCTGCCCGTGGTTCTCATCCCTAGAAAGTCTCCTGAGCTGATTCTTGTGTCCTATATCACATGTGGACATGATTATGTGGGCATGCATGTGCACGTGTGTGCAGCTGGGAACTGGGGCCATCTCCACACCTACCTGCTCAGCAGACATGCCCCACAGAGCTCTTCTTCCATCCCCTGAAATCCCACAGATCAGGCTGGGGGCCCCCATTAGCGCCTGTGCAGCCTGTGACAGATACTGGCTCTTAGTGCTAATCAGAGGTGCCACGGAAGGCTCGTGGGACTTGTGTGCAGACCCCAGACACCCACGGCAGGTCCACGTGCTGGTGCCCCAGGGCTGCTAGAGGAGATAATCCATGCCAGGGGCTGCATGAGCTGCAATCAAGGCATCCCTGTCTCTGCCCAGTTTCTGGGACCCACCTTTGTGACATCTCATAGGAAGTGTCTGCCACGGAGACAGCTGGTGGGAGGGAGGAGCCACAGACATTTGGGTGGGGAGAGCGCACTTTTAACCACGCAGGAGGCCCTGTCCCTGCCTCATAGGTCACCGTGCGGCCTCAGCTGGCTGCCCATATGTGAGTCTCTCTCCTCTACACTGGCAAGTGGTCGATTGTGTATGGGAATCTTTTCTGAGGATTTGAGATTTAAAAATGGCATTGTTTTTTAATTTCATGAAGTAAAAACAGTAGATGAGTCTATTGTCAATGGGGTTTTGATTCTTAGAACTGCGGGTGTCTGATTCTCTGGGCCAATAAATTCACATCCCCACTTTTTACAATACATTCAGTACAGTAACTCAGTACAACCTTCTAGATGTTTGTTTTGGAGACTGTCAGTGGGGTGGGGATCTGATATTCTCAGGGGTGTCCTGGGCGTGGCCAAGCAGGGAGCTGGGGAACAGAAGCTGCCCCAGGCAGAGCTCTGAGCAAGGCGGCCAGTGTTCCTAGACCTGCTGATGCTGTCACCTCAGACGCGGGCTCTGTGGAGAGGGCGCCGTTTCCTTTCTGAGCCCATTTTCCAGCCTGCACCTTCTGGCCCACCTGTGTGCTTGGAGGCCGCAGAGCTGTCTCCACCGTGTTCGCCTTTGCTTCTGTGGAGGACACATCGTTTCCTGATACTCTCACGGCAGACACAGGCAGCGCCGTGAGAAAGGAGCCCCACAGCTGTGGCCTGGGAAGTGTGTGGAAGTGGCCCCGCCTCTTAAACCTGGTGTCTGCGGCCAGTGGCTAATTGCTGTGTCTCGTTTTCTGTTTCCTGCTTCTGAAGTTCATTGTTTTTTTTCCAAATTGGCGTATTAAAATAAATGTCTAAAACTCCTATAGACACATGACGTCGGGGCAGTATGGACCCAGCATTGGCTCTGACTCCTCATACACGTCTCCTCAGTTCCCCTCTTCCTTGGAGAGCCTGCAGGTATCTCCTGGTGACAGCCTCGCTCCTTGCAACGTGGCCACCTGGACCAGCCCTGCCTTGGGTGTCAAAGCTCACACTCCCCTGGGGTCTCCATGTGTGCCACATGCCCCACCCCCATCATAGCCGCTACCTGCATCATGGCCCCGACACCACTGCCCAGCCCCTGTGCTGTGTCCTGGCCCTCATCCCAGCCCCCACCCCATCTTACAACCCCCATGCCACATCCCAGCCCCTATCCTGTATCACGGCTCCCATACCGTGTCCTGGCTCCCATCCTGGCCCCCACACCATGTCACAGCCCCCAACCCACATCATGGTCCACACACCATGTCCCAAGCCCCACTCTGTGTTTCAGCCCCCATGCCACATCCCGTGTCCTAGCCTCCTGGGACTTGGCATCACAGGAGCTGTCACTTCTCTCACAGCCTCCTTCCTGGGGCTCTGGGGCACCAGCTGGGCCCAGAACCTCTCGGGTATCAGCTCTCGGGACCCTGCTGGGGGGGTGGAGGCGGAGATACCTGGTTCGTCCCCACCAAGCCAGCCTGCCCCTCCTCCACTGACATGAATCCTCCAGTGGGGCCTCTTTCTGCCGGGGGTCCCCAGCCCCACCTGAGTGGCCGCTGCAGTCTCAGGCTTGTTTGCTTTGATGGCCACGCTCTCTCTGAGCGGCATCTACATCTGGTGTTTAGCTATGTCTGTAGCTGACAGCAGGCGAGCATAATTGTCAGATGGTCCTTGTGTTACCACTGCTGTCTGTCATGAAGATTTTAAAACCAGTTCAATGAGAAAAGATTGCAAAAATGGTAGTAAGAAGGATTGTTTACGTGTCCTGCATGGCTGTGTGCCAAGCCATGAGGGACATCGCTTGGATACTTAATTTAACCCCCTGTGCCTGCATGAGAATCAGAAGCCACAGCACCCAGCATGGAGAGCCCATGTGGGTGGCAGGGGCAGGATGTGACCCTGGCAGCCTCACCTGGGCCTGGTACTTGGTCCAGGAATTAAATGTTCCTGTTCCCAACAGAATGTACATGAGAATAGACCCCTGGTGCGGCAAAGGCAGCGTTAGAGGGGAATACCAACATATTATGCTTGTCAAAGCTGCTTATCTAGAAGGGGTCTGTGCCTGTGAGGCAGAAAAGAAGGCTGGGCCCTGAGCCCTGGAGCAGGCCCAATGGGGTCTGGGCTTCATTCCCGGACCCTGCGAGCAGCTCATCCTGAGGCGTGGCCACCGAGGGCTGTGGTCTGTGCCCTGCCTGAGGCAGGCTCCCCCTGACTGCAGTCCTGAAGGAGCACCCAGCACACAGAGCCTGGAGAGTAGCATCCCTCCTGCTGTGTGGGTTCTGTGCCCTGTGCACACACACTGCCTTTCAGGCAGCAGCAGATGGCCCTGCTGGGTGGTGTGGGTACCAGGCATGTCTGCATGCATTTCCCTGGTGGTGTTGGCCCCTGGTCACTGATGCAGGAGGCAAGGGTGGCAGTGAGTTGCCATCTGCTTCTGTAGATGAGGAGCACTAGCCATTAGGCAGGCAGTGTCTTGACTCAGCCACCTTGCAGGTTTGGGTACAAAGGTGGAGTTTGCCCATGAGGAGCAGGCACTACCTTCTGCTCAGGGCCAGGCTGGCCGAGTGCAGGCAGACAGACGCTGCATGGCCCCACATCTGGACTCACTGGGGATGCAGCATCTGCAGGCAGCTTCCCCTGAGCTCAGCTTTCTGACTTGGAGGTGCAGCTGCTCATACGGTGGCCAGCTGTGCTATCCCTGCCCAGAAGGAGGGTGTTTCTTCTCAAGATGTTTGTTGGGGAAGAGCTAGCTCTGAGAAGGCGGTGCTGTTCTGGAGAGGTGGGCTTGACTGGTAGGGCCACAAATGCTCCTTTCTGCCTGCTTTTCCATGAAGAGCCCAGCAGGAGTATCTGTAGCTGTCAGGGATGCTGGCGATGGCCTTGGTGTAGGCATGCAGTGTGCATGTAGGTGTGTACCTTGCACACATGGTGTCTGTGTGTGGGCAGGCTCACAGAGGTGCGTGTACATGCCTGTGAGTGCATGAGAGACCGCATGTGTGTGCACACATTTGCATACATGAGCATGTGCATGTGTGTGCCATGCTCTTTGTGTGTACATGTTTGAAAGTGAGCAACAGGAGCGTTCAAAGCTTTAACCTCAGTGCCCCAGGGCTATAGTATATACAATGAGTGTTTCTAGTACACTTTAAATGAAACCCCAATATCCTATTACACAGAAATGAGAAGGCTGGGCACCCAGCACAGGCTACATGCTTCCCTTTTGAACTGGTGTCCTCCATAAAGGTTTAGCTGCTTCCCAGCAGTGCGGCCCGTGGTGCTCAGTGGCTTTCTCTTCTCTCACCAGCTGCATGGCTACTTGGAGAACGAGCCACTCACGCTCCAGCTATTCATTGGGACAGCGGACGACCGCCTGCTGCGGCCACACGCTTTCTACCAGGTCCACCGAATCACAGGGAAGACTGTGTCCACCACCAGCCACGAGGCCATCCTCTCCAACACCAAGGTCCTGGAGGTCCCGCTTCTGCCGGAGAACAACATGCGTGCCATGTGAGCAGCTCCACCACCCGCAGAGCCCGTCCAGGGCCCTCGGGTCAGCTCCTACATGAACTTTGCCAATATTTTTGATGAGAGATTTGTTTCTCTCTAGGGTTTCAGCCACTGTGTATGTTACCACATACAACAAATCTCAATTACACAGCTGTCAGTGCTTCCCTCAGTGCCCGCTTGGGGCTCCTAAATATGACACCTGTTTATTTCTGAGCACAGCAGCACAAATTAGAGGAATAGTTAAAATGCAAACACTGAAAAATTAAAGTGGGTGATACATTTGGACAATATTTTCACTTTAAGAGCCACCAACAATGCTGACATGGCCAATGCCCACTCGCAGAGTCAAATCTGATTCTATTCTAGCTTATTTAGCTCCTAAGGGACATTTGAGCTGGGAGTTGATGTGTGTCCCAGCCCCTGGGGGGTGTCCCCCCACCGTATGTGCAAAGGTCCTGGGGCAGATGAGCAGGGCCTGCAGCGGGGCCACCCAGTGGGAGAGTGCACAGAAAATGAGGCCAAGAGGACCATGTGACTTAGGACTGTGTGTGGGGTGTTAATACCTGTTGAAGCCCCTGAGTCCTGAACACGGAAGGCTTCTCTCCATGTTATCATCACATGGATTTGTTTTGCGAGCTGTCACCCACTTTTCCTAAGGCCCAGGGTGTGGCTAGGCTCTGTTGCATTGCCTGTGCGGGACGCACTATGCACTGGGATCCACCCAGCGTGTGCCCAGCGCTTGTCCCAGTTGGACGTTCATTCTCCTTTTAGCTTATTGAGAAAGGACAGGCATTGATTTTATTCTATTGAGAATTTATACGTGGATTTTTTTTACTGGCATGTAGTTTTGAATACAATACTATGAAATTATTAAGGTAAATGAAGTATGAAACCCTAGAAGAAAAAAGTTTCACAAAAATGAAGGATTTTAAACTGGGTAATGAAAAAAAGATGGAATTTTTAAATAAATTGAGTTTTGTGGGAGCTCCCAGAAGACTTGAGAGGCCAGCTGGTCCTGGTGCTCCTTCCCCAGCTGCTGCTCTGCCCTGGAGATGGCTGTGCAGGGCCCACAGTGAGCACCCAGGCAGCTCAGGCCAGACCCAATGGAGGTCCAAGGGGAAGATTCAGGGTGTTGGTTCCTGCACATGGCTAGGTTTTGTCTTGCTCCTGGAGAACATCTACAGTGTGCTGACCTTCAGGGCCTGGGTGAAAGCCAGAGGGTGTGGCTGGGGCTGGACCTCAGGGTCATGTGGCCATGATTCACAGAAAAGTCATGGGCTTTTGTGTTGGCAGTATTGACTGTGCTGGAATTCTGAAACTTAGAAACTCTGACATTGAACTTCGGAAAGGAGAGACAGACATCGGGAGGAAGAACACCAGAGTGAGGCTGGTTTTCCGGGTCCACATCCCCCAGCCCAATGGCAGGACTCTGTCTCTCCAGGTTGCCTCAAACCCAATCGAATGCTGTAAGTAGATGCTCACCCAGTGCAGTTGGCGGATGCTTCCCCCAGTGCTGTCAGTAGGTGCACACTCGGTTGCTGTGAGCATCCCTCCTCTGTGGACACCTGGCCCCTACTGTCCCTGAAGCTCAGACCCCAACCACTGCCCAACAGGGGGGCCTGGACTCAGGGTACAGCATCCCTCTTTGCTGGGCCCAGCATCCAGGATGTGGCTTTCGGGACCAGGGAGCCTGCACTACCGGCTGTCTGGAGGATGCATTTCTTTTCTTTTATAGGAAGATTCTTAGTGTTTTTTAGTCAGAGCAAAGCGTTCTCTGTCCTCTGTGGATTTGGCCTGAGAGAGACGTCACTAGTTTTAGGGTTGGTGACTCCTTTGATCCAGAGATGGTTGGCATCAGACTGCAGCCAGCCAGGGCCCCATGTTGAGCTATGTGGGGGGTGACGGCATCTCCAACGACACATTTTTCCGCAGCCAGTCTGCCCAGCCTAGGTTAGTGTCACCCTCACTTGTATGGAGATTCCCTTCCTTACACTTGCGTGTGAACAGCACATTCCCTCAGACACACATTCCCACACCACTGGGGACAGGACAGGTGCAGGCACTACTTGGAGGGGCTGCAGGTTGGTGTCCCAGTCACAGTGAAGTGGGTCACACACGACTTTCGGTTTCCCTGAGTGTAAGAGTGAAGTGTGCAATAGTTATGTGTCTAAACGTGGGCCCATCCTGCTTGAGAAATGTGTCCTTGCTACGGTATGCTGACGGAGATGTGATGTGAGCACTCACTGTTGAAAAACTGCCGCAACCATCAGTCTGTGAGAAGCACAGTTTTTGTGAAGTGCAGTGAACAAGGTGGCCAGTGTGTGACTCACCTTTACTGTTTCTGTCATTACCATAATTGGGGTAAAGTGGCTTAGTCTCTCTTGGGAGATTCTGATTGTTCCCTCTGAATGCCGTTGAAGGCCCTCTGGTCCAGGTGTGCTCCCACATGGGTCTCTCACACACACCTGGGGCGTCTCGCGGTGCTCGTCCTCAGGGGGGTACATCTCATTGACCCTCTCCCCCACCTAATGCAGCCCAGCGCTCAGCCCAGGAGCTGCCCCTTGTGGAAAAGCAGAGTTTGGACAGCTACCCAGTCGTGGGCGGGAAGAAGATGATCCTGTCCGGCCACAACTTCCTTCAGGACTCCAAGGTCGTTTTCGTGGAGAAAGCGCCAGGTGAGCTCTTCAAACAGACCTTCAGGAGGCTCCTGGTTTGGGCGCTGCTAAAGCAGCTCTCAACTCAATCCCCAGTGCTGGCTGTGGGGGCGGGAGGCGTGGCCCAGCTTTTGCCCATGGTGAGCTGTGGTGTGAGTAGTGGTTACCCCTGGAGGGAGCTAGCAGTTTTTTTCATCTCTAGGGTGGTCGACAGGTCCTCCTTACAGACTTCACATCAGGGCTGAAGGGACCTCAGGTTGCAGACACCCAGGGAGAGTCCGAGGGAGGCATTTGCTTGCTTTGTCAGGGTCCTTTGCCTCCTGGAATGTGCACCAGGGCAGGCACCTCCTGTATGGTCCACATGTCTCCCCTAGGGCAGACCCTTCCCTCAGCCACAGGTCATCAGCGGGCCGCAGCAGCTCCCGGCGCCTCTCCCAACTGCATTTCTTGTTTGTCCCACTGCATGGTCATGTGAACCAGGTGCTGTAGGTTTCTGCCATGTACATGACTCTGTGTCTGCAGGCCCCAGGGAGGGAAGTCCCCATGGGAGCCCCAGAGAGGTGCTGGAGCTGCCCTCCACTCTGCAGCCTCAGTGTGGCCTCGTGTTCATGCTGCGCCCTGGCTGGAGGTACCAGAGTGGCCTCTGGAGGGAAGTAGTGGGGGTGTCCTGAGGACATGGTTCTTCCTGGGGCCGTTGTGTCTTCAGTCCTGTATTGCCTGCTGGGGCCACTGTCGTCCTGGACCTGGTCACTTCACTCAGACACTGACCCTGGGAGCCTCATCTGGGTACCACATTCCTGGTGATGGGACCTGGCAGGGCTGCCTGAGGCTGCGTGCAAGGGTCTGCTTGCCGACACTTGGTTTGGAGCAAAGATGTTCTGGCCACAGGCTCGCTGCAGGTGCCTGGCATAGGGCATGGGCCTGGCATGTGAGTGAGTCACAGGTAGAGAGTGTGTGGCCCTCACTCTCTGTGAAGACGTTAGGAGTTGTATTTTAGAACTGGTTCCTGGCGCCTTTCCCAGAGGTGAGGTGAGGGATGCCATCTAGCAGGGCAGTGGCCCACAGAGGCTGGTGTTTGTGGCTTTTTCCTATTCACATTGACCAGTTGGAATTTTTTGAATGTGACTGGCCCCATACTTACTCTCATTACTGGAAACCACTGAGGCATTCAGCCTTCATAATGGGGTCTTGATTTTGTGCAGTTTGCAGGAAACTTAAGTGCTTCAATCAAAATGGGCTTAAAAGTCTTTTGCATTTGAGTCAGCTTCCTATATAATCATGCACATAATTGGAAAACATGTTTTAAGTTACAGAGAAAGCCCAGTGAGGGGTGATGACAGAAGCAGACATTTGCCTTGCCCAGCACTCTTCTCTCGGGGGGGGGGGGGGGGTTATCTGGAAATTTGAGTTCAGCCCTCCCAAAAGAAGAAATCCCTCTTACATAGTTTCTTAAGAGATTTTGTTCCTCCTTTCCCTCAAAAGCCCTCCAGCTTTAGAAAATGGTATTAGTTACTTACACTTTTGGGGGGGGGGGGGGGGCTAAGTTTGAAATGATTTAACCTTCAGAGCCATAGACGTGTTTCTATGTGTCTCTGTGCCTTCCGTGAGGTAACAGCATGAGTGGCAGGGGCCCAAGCAGCTTCCTGGCTGCTTTGCAGTTTGTTCTGCAGGGAGAGGCCCAGGGAAGCACCCCTGCACTCACCACATGCTTGCTGAGGTTGCCCTGAGTCTCACGCAGGCACACCAGGAACATGCTACCACTGGGCTATCAGGTGTGCAGAGCTTGATTGAGGTCCGAGTTTCCAACCCTTAACTGCGACTGGCTACTGCCACCCTGGGAGCCTCTCCTGCCCTCGTCCCCAGCCTGTTCGTCACCCAGAAGTTCAGTGTGAACACCTTGGGGAGTGCCCTTGCCCACACTTGGGGTGAGGGCCAGTACGCCTTGTCCTGGCTTTGCTTCTGGGAGCTGGTCTTTAATCCGCTCTCTCTAATATCGGCTGACTTGAACGTAAACAGTGGAATCGCAGTTGCTGGCTAGACTCGCTGTAAGTATTCACATGTTACTGCACACAGCAGGCACACAGCAGACGAGCAGCAAATGGGTGTGTGCCATGTGAATACATTCTGCACGGCCAGCAGGTGAGCGTGTGGACGCTGCGGTTAGATTCTGACAGCATCTGTGATTACCTTGTTTATATTTAAGATTATTTGCACAGCCGTATTATACATGTAGACATGCATATCACAGGTTTTCAAGAGAAGAGAACAAATGTCTTCATAACTTTCTTTCTTTACATTTGGTTATTTAGGCAGAAGTCATCTCAAACCAAACAATTCCTGTTGCATCCTGATATGTTGGTGTAACTAGACACCCCTCATCCTCCTCCTGGTGATGAGCTTTTCTAGTTGTGTTTTTTGAGAAACCACTAAACTCAATTTAAATTAAAATTAGTCCCCCCTCCCCCATCTTCTGATGAGCTTGTCTGATTCATCTTAAAGCTCTGCCTGCAGGGATCACTAAGGCCAGAGTGTGAGCTGGGGGAGAGTCTTATTGAGGAGGTTAAAGAAGTGGGCACATTCAACTGCCCTTGCCAGAGAGGACTGTGCTGGCACTGTGGCTCCTACTCTGATGCCTGTTCTGAGAGAACCAGAGGGCATAACTATGGTGAATGTGGCAGCGTCAGGTGCCCTGCACCTGTGAGTCAGCTCAGCCTCTGTGCCAGCCCACCCTTCCCACTGCTCTGGGTTCAGGGCGGGGTGGTGTGGGGCCTCCTGAAGACAGTGTCACTTTCTCCTGCTAGTGGCTCAGACAGAGGGGTCCCCAAAGCAGGGTCACACTGGCTCCTGCCAGCTAGATCACAGCTTTATGTCCCCTCACCCACTTTCTTCTTTTGGGAAATGGGAACCAGTCACCACCATGGCCTTGGCACCATCTGCTCCTGTGATATCAGCTGGGTTTGGGGACGATGCTTTGGGGGGTGAGGGAGACCCGGGCAGGTGGCTCCAGCTTCCAACAGAGGACTGTGATTTTACTTTGCTGTGCAGAAGGCCCAAGAGTTGAAATAAACCCCTGTCAAGGACTTAGATCAGTGGTTTATGGCATCCATATGCGACCTTTTCTGATGATGAAAGTGTGTGCAGAATGCCCACCAGAGAAACCAGGAGGGCGCCCTGATTCCTGAGGATGGTCACACCCCACAGGCCTAGCATCAGGGTCAGAAGCCACTGGTGTCAGTGTGAAATCTGCCGGCCCCAGACAGCACAGCACTAGGTTTCCAGATGTGGACACATCACATTGACAGTCATGCTCTCTCTGGGTCCCTCTTCAAGGTGCATGTTTGTGTAGGATGAGCGCATCTGGCGACGCCGTGGGGTTTATATGGACAGGGACAACAAGAAGCTGTCACAGAGGAAACACACTTTTCCTCTGTACAGAAGGGCAGGGTTGTAAGACTTGGCTGCATTAAATGTTAGCAGCTCTTCATACCAAAGTCCAGCTTGGTCCCCTTTGGAAAGCCACAGTCTGTCTTGCTGTGATTTTTCCAAACTATAATGAAGTGTGTTTTGATTCTCTTTTTTTTTTTTATCTTGATTCTCTTGCTGTGGAAAAGCCACACTGAAGCTCAGGTTGAGGCAGCAGCGGCCTTTTTTGCTTATAACCATGTGGAAGCTGCCCTTTTTGCTAGGCTTGCCTGTGGTCATGTGTGTGGCCACTGTGGCCTAGCAGGTCAGCTGGAAGCTGGGAGGGCCCGTTTTCCCATCTGGATGGGTAGTCAGGGCCCCACCAGGCCTCTTCATGTAATGGCCTGGGCTTGTGTATACCTGGAGCTCCTGGGATACAGGCGTGGGAGGTGTCAGGTCTCTTGAGGCTGTAGGCCGCCTCCCCTACCACATCTGGGGCCCTACCCAGGGGCGAGGGAGACCACACAGGGCGGGAACCTGGAGGCGTGGGCAGGGGTCCAAGGCTGAACACCACTCACTGGTGGAGCCTCTGCAGGACTGTGCTGGCTGAAGCCTCAGACCCACCTCTGAAAATGCCCAGATATCCAGGGCTGCCCCCAGACCCAGCAAGGAGGCTGCTGTGAGCCCTTGACCTGGTGCACAGAGAGCCAGGCATAGATGTAGGTGGGACATCCACAAGCCCAGAGTGGGGCGCTGCCTTAAGTACCCTGCCCCCACAGCGGGAGCCGGCAGAGGGTTTGCCCTCCCCAGATGCTTCTCACCTCCTCAGGGGTCAGGGAGTGGGCTCTGAACCACATCCTGAACTTCTTGAACTCAGGGGTAGTGGAACCATACCAGCCCAGAGGCCTTGCCCAGCCCTATCAAGGCTCAGGAAGCCACGGGCATGTGCTTGGTCTTCTGGGAGAGCTTGGGAGGCTCTGCCTGGCAGCCGCGGAGCCCAGGAGGTACAGGGCCTTTGTCAGGGGAGGGTCACCTGCCAGGGCACAGCCACTAGAATAGGGCCTGGGCCTGGGTGTTGTTAGGCAGAAGCTGTGTCGTTCAGGGTGTGAGGACATGGCTGGTGTGTCTCACAGCCTCCAGGGAGCTGAGGGCTCAGCTGACCCCAGCAGTCACCAGGGTGCTCCTCCACTCAGCCGTGGTACCCCCTAGGTGCACAGAACAGGGGGTCAGGGGCTGGCATGGGGCTCCCCACTGGGGGATGGCTTTAATGAGCCTGACCAACAGTGACCAGTCCTTCTGGGGCGTCTGGAGGGGCCTTCCGGGGCCGCAAAAGACTCGTCCCTGCAGCCACTTGGGCGTCTCCAATGAGGTGGCATACCCTCCCCTGCAGGTGACCTGCCAGTGTGACCTGCCACCCTTTCCTCCTCCAGGTACAGCCCCAGACTGTCCTGAGAGTGGACTCAGCCAGGTACCCTCCACAGTGGGGAGGTTCTTGTCCCTGGTTCTAATTTTGCTGCCTTTGCTCAGTGCAGCCACAGCCACTGGGTCTGGGCCTTGAATGTGGCCCCCTCCCCATGCCCCTCCATACTCACAGGGCAGCAGCACACAAGACCATAAAGGATACTTGCTCCTCCACAGCAGCCTATCGAGACAGAATCCACACACGTCCAGCCCACGCGACGTGTACAAGTCAGCTGTCTGGTGCATGTGCAGAGAGTACAGCCGTTACTGTGATCCCAGGACACTCTCGTCTTTCTAAGAGGAGCTGGAACTGTCCACAGCCCACCCTGTCCCATCCCGTTCTCTCCTATCCAGCTGTGCCCATGGGTGGGGTCAAGCATTTTGGCCTCTGAGCTGACATCTCACTGGACACAGTGACTTCTGGGACCTGAGTATGGCACCTGCAGCAGCTCAACTGTCCTTGGGGCTAAGGGCCAGCCCTCTCTTGTCTGCTCATCCTCCAGTTAACCCTAGGCAGTTCCACCCCTTGGGGATTGTCGTGAGCAGAGCTACTAGGCACAAGGTCCCATGAGTACCTGAGCTCCTGACCCTGGGCACAGACCTAGGAGTGGAATTGCCAGGTCAGTGGGTGACCCCATGCTTAACAATGTCAGGACCTGCTGGCTGGTTTCCACAGTGCTGGGTGTCTCTTTTCACTCTAGAATCTCCTGTTGGGGAGGATGGAGCTGGGAGCTATGCTGTGTATGCAGGACAGTGTCCCAGGCAAACGCCAGGGAGAGGGTGCCATTGTGGTCCCCAGATGCCCCCAGACTGATGGTGACCCCATGTGAATGGCCTCCCACCTCCAGTCACCCCTTACTTCTTCAGGATCTCAAGATGTGGGCCTGGGTATTGCTCTCAGGACTCTGCAAGCCAGCTGGGCCTGCCAGGTGTCCCCAGTGGCAGCTCCTACTCTACTCTCCCCAAGGACCAGGCTCTGTGGCAACAGGGCTGTGTCCTCTGCTCTGGGCTCTTCCTGAGCGTCCAGCATACAGGGGGCACTTCACAAACATCTGTGTACAGACGTCACTCCACTCTCCTAAGGCCAACAGACAAACCCAGGGCATCTAGGGTGGGTGGCCTGAACATTCACACTGGGGACTCTTTCTGACCAATTCTGCTCTTTGATCTGTGTGGCCATCTAGCTGCTCCAGTGAGGGTGTGTTAATCCCTCTGTCCTTCCATGGTCAGTAGCTTTGTGTGGAAAGGAGGGTCCCCCCGCCCCAAGGGTGACAGGGCCTCAGCTGTGCAGGGAGGCAGCCCAACCCCTCACCCCCTTGGCCTGCAGGGCAGCCCCAGCCCTCGGCCCTGTCTGTGTGGAAACCATGGCGGGTGTGGCGGGGAAGCCTTTCCAATGACTCACACTGCAGGGAGTTCCCTGATGACTTGGAATATTTTTACTCCTGGACTCAGGCCGTTTCCTACTGAGAACCGGGCAGCTCTTGATAAGGCTGGAACACAAAGGCCCTTTCAGAACCGACCGCCCCCTTCATAGTAGGGACTGAATTTTGATCAGCCCTGGGCTGGCCTTGCCTCTAGGCCTAGGCACTTTGCAGAAGGGTGAGTCCGCCTGTGACACATCAGGGCAGTCGGCGCTCCTCTGCGCTATCCCTGGCTATGCAGCCACCTTCACATGGTTCCTTGAGCTGTGCAGCTCAGAGCCCTCTTTAGACACCTGGTTCTTTGACCAGACTCTGAACAGCTATTCTAGATACAGTTCCCATAAATGCACATTTGCCTTTAAAAATAGCATAAATACAAAAGCCAAACCCCCTCCTGGGTCTGCAGAACACCAGTGTCAGGTGACCATGGGAAGAGCAGGCCCAGAGTCCAGGGCAGCCTCCACCTCCCTGCCCTGGGCAGCCCAGGCCTTTGATGGCTCCAAAATGCCAGAGCCTTAATGGGACATCTAAGCACATCTGCTCTGCCCTGTGCTGTCACTTGAAAGGCACAGGTACATAGTGCACCTTGTGGGGGTGGCTGGCGGGTATGCAAAGGTGACAGCTCATACCCTTATGGGCCCAGGTGGCCTGGGAGGAAAAGACTCCTCCATGGATAGTTCGCAGCTGGTGGCCCCACATTCTACCCCACACCTATGTCCCTTTGATGTTGCTTCACCTCTGTGAAGCTGCACAGCTGTCCCTGGGGCCTGATGTTGGGTGTTGAGTCCCTCCCTGCTGGCCAGGCATCCAGGGAGCAATGGGCTGTTTGTTTCTGCCTCTGCTGCAAGAATGGTGTCTCCTGCTCAGGGTTAGGTTAAATATGCTGTCCTGGCCCTTTACGTGCCTCAGCACCCCCTTACCCCCAGCACACTTGTTGTCCCTCCCTCTATCCCTACTTTTTTGACATGGAGTCTCAACCCTGTCACTCAGGCTGGAGCGCAGTGGGGTCTTCACGCTGCTGCAGCCTCTAAATCCTGGGTGCTAGTGACCCTTCTGCCTTGGCCTCCCTCATAGCTGGAACTACAGATGCTGCCACAACACCCCACTGCTTTGTTTTTATTGGGGTAGAGACGGGGTCTCCCCATGTTGCCCAGGGTGATCTCAAACTCCTGGCCTCAAGTACTCTCCTGCCTCAGCTCCCCACATGACCCATTTAGGACCACAATGGCCCTGGCACTCCTGGTGACTCATTGAAGCTGGGCTGTGGCCTCCAGCTTCTCTGTGGGGCAGGGACTGTACATAGCAGCTCCGGTTTTAGACCCTCAAGGGGGACCTGTGCTAAGAAAATTCAGAAGCTTTTTTTTTTTTTAAGCACCAGGAAAACAGAAGAGTTAGCTGTGCACAGAGCAGGCCCCATACAGTTTGGGCAGGTCCCTCCATCACCCCTTCTTCTTCTCTAGATATCCTCAGCACCAGAATGCGGGAGGGAGGTTGCTGCTCTGTGGAACTCGGAGACCTTTAGGAGCAACAGTGTGTTTTTAGTTTCCTATTATTTTTTCCTAGAGGACCCCCATCCTGTGGGCCATCTGCTAGGCAGTTTTCCCTATGACCTACATCCTCCCAGGCCTGGCTGGGGGTTGCTGGGGCCTTGGTGAGCCTCTTCCAAAACCCCCACCCTGCAGGCACTGCCCACCCCCATGACAGCAAAAAAGACATTTTGTCTAATTTATCAATAATTTGGGATTTGTTACAAACATTTTCCTCTTTGAAAGTGTAGCATAAGCAAAACCTCAGTGTATGTGTATATACTGTCATTCATTTGGGGAACAGACTTTATTTTGAGAATGACAGAAGTGAGGAAAAGGGACCTGTATAGGAGATTGACTTCTGTTAATCCAAAATTATCACCCCAAGCGAGTCCCGGCCCCGCATCCTCACGGCCTCTGCTCCGCGGACCAGACACCCACACCCCACCTGGGAGGGAGAACAGTAAGCCCTTTCAGGCCCCTCTGGACACTTTTTATTTTTTTAAACATGCAAATGGCCACTTGGGTAATGTTAAAAATACCTTGTATTTTGCATTTCTGCAGCCTGAGGTGGCAAGAACAGAGAGGGGCCGGTATTTGCCTAGCAGCTCCTCAAGCAGAGGACGGGGCTGGGTTCTCTCCCCTTGCGTGTCTGCTATGGAAGGCTCATGGGGCTTTCTCACCCCATACCTCTGCTCTTGGCCAGGGTTCCTGCATGCTCCCCGTGTGCTCACGGGCCATGGGAGGTGCACAGGCTGCTGCGAACTGGGATCCAGGCACGGCAGCACCCTTGTCCCCCCTTTCATTAGCTCTGCCCCCAGGAGACTGGAGGGCAGAGACCCTTTGGGGTTTGTGATAAGGCTGCTGAGGTGCTGGGAGACCAGGTCTGGGATGTGCTTCTCAGGCTTCTCCCTGCTGCGGGCCCTTCCCACCCTGCCAGCATGGGTTTGGCGTCAGACATGGCGCCAGGCCTAGGGCAGGTCACCCTGGGGGCACTAGGCTCTTGCCCATGGGGCTCTTGGGCAAGAGGTCCTATCCCAGCTCTAGGCTGTGACTGGACTGAGGGGAACTTTCCGGGGGCCCCACCACACAGGGTAATGGGTTCTCCATGCCCTTTCTTCCAGATGGCCACCACGTCTGGGAGATGGAAGCAAAAACGGATCGAGACCTGTGTAAGCCAGTGAGTATCCCTGCACAGACTTGGGTTCTCAAGGGCTGGGTCCTGCCTCTTAAGATGAAACACTAATGAAAACAGTAAAAGAATAAGTAATAGAACATGGCTGTAAAGTGCCCAGGCTCAGAACATGAGCCTTATGGCAGGGTGCCCGGCAGGTTCGGGCCTCCCCAAGTAGCCACGATGCTGAGTCACATGGCCAGGCATCTAAACACTGTAAGGAGGGTGTCTGGGCCTGCCCAGACCTGCCATGCAGCACAAGGTGGCCTCCCCAGCATCCCAGCGAGCACTGATTGCCCCACAAGTGTCTGTTGTGTGACACAGCTGTGAGGACAAATCTGATTGTGCCTCTCAGATTTGTGTGTCTGATTCCTGAGGAGCTGGTAGACTCATCTTGGCAGGAGTCACTGGCTCAGGCCTCACGTTCCAGGCTCTGCTTCCCTGCTCCGGCCTCCTTGGTGTCATTTGTGTGCAGCAGGTACCCACAGCAGTTATGGCTTCTCGGATTGGCTAATTAGGAAGATTTGTTTTGGTCTGAAATTGCCATAGCTGCTCCTACTTTCCTCAGCTTGGTGTTGGCTTGGGGTAGCTTTCTTGTCCCTTCATATTTAATCTGTGTCTTTATATTTGAAGTGGTTTCTTGGAGACCACACATATTTGGGTCTGGCTATTGACCCACTCTGACAATCTCTGTCTTGTAATTAGTATATTTAGCCCATTGATGTTTAGAGTGATTTATTAATAGAGTTGTAGTAGTATCTGCCATTGAATTTTTTTTTTGAGTGTTCTGTTCTAGAAAAATAGAATCTTTATGCCCACATCATAGACTCCACGGCTGGGTCTGTGAAGGCCTATGAAGACACTCAGTTCTCTGAAGCTCTGTGGCTTGTGCCCAGGCACTGACAGAGGTGTCCAAATGGCCCCTCAGGACCCTGGGTGTGGGAGTGGGAGGTAAATTATTCAGAAATGTCACTCAGGTAAAGCACTCAATGTTTTCTCTTGGGCCTACTTTATATACTGGATAGTGAGGTCAGGTGAACAGAGCATGTGGATGATGAGTTTTGCTGAAGTCATCAAGGTCCTCTCACCTGGTGGAAGGAAGGTGGCATCTTGCACGGAGAGAGGCATCAGTGTATTGTGCCTGCAGCTCTCTGGCATCTGATTCATGTTGACTGCTGGTCACGCCCCCTCTCTGTGAGAATGGAGTGTCTCCCACTCTGCACTGAAGCACCTCTCCAAGTGCCAGTGCCTTTGTCAGAACTTTTTCTGGTGATCAGGCGACCAGAGTCTTCCCTGGCCTTGGAGCGAGGCCTGTGCTCAGAGGTGACTCACCTCTGGGGGTCTCACAGAACAAAGCTCTAGTCCGCCGGGCCACTGTGGCACCTTCACCCGAGAAGCCCCAGAGGTGATGCCCAGGCCCGGCCCAGCTTTAGATGGACAAGTCCTGGCCAAAAGGCTGGTTGGCTACAGGGGCTGCAGTTCTGGGCTGCTCAGAAGTGCCCCAAACACCCCAATGACAGGCCCCCCCCATCCATCCCACTCCTTCTGGCTGTGTATGTGTCCACAATAGTCTACGCTGGACACTGCTGGGTGCCCCTGCCCAGGGGGCTGGTGCTGGCAGTTTGTGGGTGTTGGTGCCACCTCCCTCCATAGCCAGGGTGGGTCTGCGGTCTCTCTGCCCTCTCCTGTGTCTGTACTGGGCAGCTCTTACCCTCTGGCTCAGGCCTTTCTGTGACTCTGGCTTTGTCTATCACCTGGACACTGGACACAGATAACAGGAGCAGGGCTGCCTAAGCGCCTGCCCACCCTGTCCCCTTGGCAGAGAGAAGAGGCTGCAACCCATGAACACTTTGGGGTTGAAAAATGACCCCAGCCAAGTTGGCATGTTCACATTTCCTGTTATTCTGTTATAGCGGAGCAGTTAGCAGTTACATGTTTCATGAGAAACAATAGTACAGGTGAAACTATTTTTTGTTTGCTGTTTTGTTTTTTCTCTTAAATGAAGTTTACTTTCATATACATTTTTTCTAATCACAAAGGAACTTCATATTCATTGTGGAAATTTGGAAAATGTAAAAAAGTATTTAAGAAAAGAAATAAAGCCTACTGAAGCCTCTCTGCCTAGGGAGAGTGTTAGCACCCGCACTCTCCCAGCCCAGTACCCATGTGTGCGTAGACTCACGTGGACACAACATGGATATGTCTATCGCATTTTTAAATGAGATGGGTTGTTCTGAGTATGTGGTTTCGTGCTGCCTGTAGCTGAGTATGTGAACTTAAGACGACGAATTTCCTCAGAGCAAGTCGTACAGCTGTGCTGGTGCCAAGTTAGCCTGGCTTCTTCTGTCCTGACCTGTCTTCATTTTCCTCCACTTTCTTTCCTGCCTTTTGCTTCTCTGTGTATTTGAGTAGCAGTGCCCCCAGGGAGAGAGTGGTTTTGTTGTTACTTTGTCTGCTTAAAGCAGTGATGTTCAACCCTACTTATCTTGCCTATAGTTAAATTTCCACGGCACACTTAAATTATGATGATCAAAAAGAGAGTAAAAAAAGTATACACTTCCTGTGCTTTAGGACATCTTTCAAAAGTAATTTAATTAGGCCAGGCGTGATGGCTCACGCCTGTTGTCCCAGCGCTGTGGGAGGCCGAGGCGGGTGGATCACCTGAGCTCAGCTGAGTTTGAGACCAGCAGAAGACCAGCATGAGCCAGAGTGAGAGCCCATCTCTATTAAAAAAAAAAACAAAAAAAAACTGGATGTTGTGGCGGGTACCTGTAATCCCAGCTACTTGGGAGGCAAAGGGCAAGAGAATCGCTAAAGGAAGAAAGAAAGAAAAAAAACTTCAAACTAAGATAAAGTGAAAACCAGCTGAAATTGAAAGCAAAAAGTAAAAAAAAAAATTAATTAATGATCTTTAAAAATTTTCCAAAAAAAATAAAAAATAAAAATTTTCATGACACACCGGTTGGAAATCACTGGCTTAGAGAATGGCTGTGGATCAGCCTGTGCCCACAGGTGCCCCTGTGCCCACGCCCAGCACACCCTGCTCCAGGGAGAGGTCAAGGAAGCCACTGGCTGGGGCGGCCACCCACCTTGTCTGCCCAATCGTGTGATGTGGCTCATCTTATCAGCTTCAAGAGGATATTCCCTTCCTGTCTCTTCTCACAGTTCCCTCTGAGCAAGAGGCTGAGCTGCTTTACCTGGGCCCTGGTTTTGGCCACCGTCTTGAGCAGCTGTGGCGGCTCTGGTGTCCCTGCCCATGTGTCCAGCCCTCTGAGGAAGCCTCTTCCTCTTCATCCCTAAACAAGGGAGACCGAGCCTCAGGAATGGCCCTGTGGGGCTGGACAGGGCCCTTTGTGGAAGGCTTCCCCTCTCCCAGCTGCTCCCTGTCACAATGGTACAGAAGCTCTGGCAGGAGGTGTCTGTCGCTTCTCCCAGATGAAACGCAGCTAATAAGCGACAGGCACCTGGTGTCTGGGCTCCCAGCAGCAGCCGCTATGCCTTAGTTTCTTCATCTGTAAAAGGAGAGGTCAGACCTGAAGTTATCTTCAGTTTTTGTTTTAACACCCTAAGATTTTGTCATTAACGTGGTTCAGCCAATTTTGCCATTGAACTGAGTAATAAGCTACAATTAATCATTTCCACAGAAGAAGTGATATGATGGATTTTTCTTACTTATTTTCCCTACTTGTGAAACCAAAACCATGTTTGAAACAATTAAAGGAACTTTATGGATATGAATGTCCCCGGCAGGGCCACCTGTACCCTCCTGTCCACTTAGGGCTTCTTTAGGGCCCAACATCTGTGTGGCTCAGGGGGACATAGGGTTTGGGTGTCCCCACCCCAGCCTGAGATTTTCCTATATAGTGCCATGCTTTTTTTTAAATATCTGTATTTGAAAAAACACGATTTTTATAAAAATCTTGCTGATTTCTATTTTAAAAACATGAGCAATAACAGCAACCACCTTAGTCATGCAATTTTGACTGTTACCTTCGAGCTCTTAACCGCTCCTGCCACCTGAGGACCTTCTTCAGGCAGACTGAGTTTGTGGTAGGGTCTGGGGATTCAGTCGCTGTGGAGGACAACAGACACAGTCCCCCCAGAGGCAGCATCTCTGTCACCCTGCTGCACTCGGCTTGTGGGTGGGCCGGGGCCTTCCTAGCCTCGCTCTTCACTCTTCAGGCCCTTCCCACCCACTCGTGGCTTCTCTCATTTCTGCCCATGTCTGGTCCCCACAGAAAGGGGGCATATGCCCTCCTGGGTATGGCTCCCTGTGAGCAGCTCATGCTTATGCAGATATCTCAAACACAGCCATGCCTCAGTTTGCTGCTGCAGGAAACCTGCCACTGATGGTCCGCAGCTGCCACTTCTGTGTCATGTCAGTGCAAAGCATCTCCCATTTACAGGACACTAACTGCCTCCTCTTTACTGTGGTCTCCCTAGAATTCCTTGGTGGTTGAGATACCGCCATTCCGCAATCAGAGGGTCGCTGGCCCCGTCCAAGTCAGTTTCTACGTCTGCAACGGGAAGAGGAAGAGGAGCCAGTACCAACCGTTCACCTACCTTCCTGCCAACGGTAACGACACCTTTCTAGCCTTGAGCACTGCACATGGGCACGTGGGTTGTTTTCTCTAAAGGACACAGGCGTGCAATTCTGTGTTGCGGTTCTTAGGACTGAGTCATCAATTCTCTCTCTCAAAAAAAAAAATGAAGCTTTCAATGTATTTTCCTTTATACTATCCAAGGGAGGGGGCTGTTGCATATTTGGCAAATTGCTGGTCATTTTGCTGGCGTTTTACAAATATGTAACGGCCAAGGAGGAAAAGTCTGGCTTTTCTGTACTTAACACTGAGGTGGTCTTGGTGCATATTTAAATTCCACAGCTTTTTAAGCTGAAAAAGCAAATACATAGAGCTATTTTGCAGGTCCCTTTAGGAATAAACCCCTGGTTTTAAGCCCAAAGCGGGGCCTCATGTGGTCACTTGGTGGGGGGTAGGGGGACCACTGGTGACCTGATGCTCCAACTGCCACCATGGGGACGTCTCTGCAGCCTGCGATCTCATTTACCGAGGCTCTCCCAGCTGCCCCTGTGCGAAGTTTGAGGATGGCTGCTTCTTTCACTCAAAAAGCTCCAGCTTATTTTTGTTTAATGTTTTGGGGTGTTTTCTTTTAAAAAGAATACCATTAAGTTTGTTTCTTCATTCTATAAGTCAGTAGGAAAGAAAGTTTTCTCCCACAGCATCTGGGCTTATCTCTGGAGCAGCCAGGGTGTATGTTAAGACAGGTCAAGATCAGTTGTCATCCTGAATTTTCTTATATGTTGGGTAACCTCTGCTATGTCAGCAATGTTTGTATATTGTTGCTTTTTTTTTTAATAAAAACTAAAAAAGATAGAGATGTGTATAGTTTAGGATGGAAATTATTCACCAAAACAGCAGTTGCAAAAGCAGCCACCTTGTTACCTTAGTAAAATCAAGATTTTTTAAAGAAGGTTTCAGTTTTCCTGAAATGTAAGTAAATGGCATTTACAAGTCACAGGAAAGCCCTAGAATAGCTGTGTATTAAACTGTTCGATTAACTGCTTTATTGGGCAAATACTAGACATGCCTTTCAAGATTTGAATAATGGGGTTTTGTTGCAAAATGATCATGCCTGTGAGTGTCCAGGACACAGAAACAGCGTGAGTGGCCTCAGCACAGCCACTTGCAAGGGAGAGGTCTGGGTCACGCCCGGCTGGCGTGATCTGTGCTGCTCATACATCCTGACTCCCATCCGCTCCTAGATAAGGATCGGTTCAAATATCTTAGAAAAGAAAATGTTTGATCTTTTTGAAAAATGTAATGATTGTGTCCTAATTACACTGTAAGCATGGTTGGCCAAAAATTGAATGTTTTAAAGAAAAGCTAGGCCTTATAAAGAAAAATTGCTTTCCACAGCAGTGTAGAAAACAGCTCGAGCATTAATTTTTTTTTGTTCACTTGGCACACAGATGTCCCTCTGCAGGTGGGGTGGCTGGAATGGGTGGGAACATCCCAGGGTTGGAGGTAGGAGGGCTTGTGTGGGACCCACACCCTTCCCTGATGTAGCTGAGGCCCTGTGCTGAGCTGCTACACTTGCCCCTGCACCACCCGCCTGGCAGCATCCAGGCCTGCCAGCTGCACTGCACCTCGGTCCACCCCAAGGCCCTCCTGCTTCCATGCCTGAGTGGACGTCTCACTGGATCCTGCCCCACCCTCCAGCCCAGCACCCACCTAGGCGCAGCCCATCTGCAGGAGGGCATCCCACATTCACCTGGCCCACCTCTCTCCAGCTGCGGTCACATCTCTCTAGGACATTTTCCTGCAGCACCCCAGGCACCCACCTGGTCCCACAGCCGTTCAGCTCCTGAACAGAGACCCCAGGCCACTGCAGGTGTTGACTCAGGCCTGATGCACGGGGATTTCCTAATATGTGGTTCTCAAAATAAATAAATGAACAATGGAAACTGGACCTTAGGCACCGTGTCACGCGTGGTGTCCTCCCAATGTACCTCGCCGCCGCCAGCTGCAGGGATGAATGTGAGGGTGCTGGTGGGTGCTCTCCTCACATCCCTATCCTGGGGGCCTGCTCTGGCAGTTTCTGCCATGTGGTCACCTTCTCCAGACAGAGATTTCAGCTCTTAGTCCCAGAGATGCATCATGGTGCCCATGGAGGCTTGCAGGCAGGATCCGGGAGAACAGTCAGGGAGCCCTGGCTGATCTAAGCTGGTTTTGATTCATTTTCTTCTTTTTTTTTCAAACCATGCTTGTGAGGTTGACAGCATCTTCCCTCTGGGTTCTGTTCTATCAGCTTCATGTCCACTTCTAAGGGACCCAGCAGTGAGGTCATCAAACGCCCAACAGAAATAAGCCTGTTCATACCCTACCTGTGAAATTCATGTTCACACACAAATGTGAAATCAAGTCTTAGTTTAGGTTTTCCTTCAAAATTATCTGTGAGTGAAGGTGCTTCTTGCTGTGCCACAGAGTCCCACATTGTGCCCCTGGGTGGGCCCTGCCCTGCCCCGTATGCACACAGGCCTCCTATGAGTACCAGGCTCTGGGTGGGCACCCCTCACCTCCATTCAGGCCAGATCTACTCTGGGGCCTAGCTGACCCCATCACAGCACCCAGGGTCACCCTTGCCTGATCCCTACCTCCCACAGGCAGGACACTCCACCTCAGAGGGTGGGGCCTCACAGATACACGCAGTGCAACCATCAGGCTAGGCGGAGGCCAGTGACTCCCCACAAGGGAGCCCCCGAATGCCACCCACCCTATCCAGGACCCATTGGACAGGTTCCTCTTGGTCTTCCTCGATTAACATTTTGGTTATGCTGTGTCTGTAAAGCATAGTCTGGACGCATCATGGGGCTGAGGGACACCCCAGGGCCTGTCATGGGCCAGATTCTGGCAAGGTCACTCAGGGTTCTGAGATGTGACCCCAGTGTCCACGAGGCACGAGGCATGAAATGTCCATTCAGGCATGGAAGCGGGAGGGCCTTGGGGTTCCCATGAGGGGAAAATGCTGCCAAATTTGGGTTAAGAACACGTGTCCCAGGTGGCCCATTTCCCTCCTGGGGGTGCAGCAGGGTAGGGCCTAAAGTACTTCAGCAAAGGGGCCCCATGTTGCAAGCTTAGAGTTACCAAAGTTGGTATTTTTAAGTGAGAAAATAAAGCATGATAAATCCTTGGGTCTGGGAGACTCAATCTTGCTTCTGAAGTTGCTTTAGTTTGTTTACATGGAAGTGCTGAGGCTCTGGGCCCTTACCTGACATCCAGCAGACCTGAGGGCCCATCCCCCCACCTGGTGCCTACAGCCCTGCAGGCCCATTCCCTCACCTGTCGCCCACTACACCAGGTCCTGTGGGCCACGTCTTTCTTGCCTTCACCAGTTCCCTCGTGGGGGACCCGTCCCTGCCCTTCAGACACACAGCCATCCCCGATGGGCCTTAGGGGGACTGCTGGGACAAAACCCGCTGGTGACTTAGGAGCAGGAAGTGGCTTTGAGTGAGAAGAAGTTAGCCTCAGCCCCTGGGCCTCCCTGGTGGGCCTCTCAGTAGACCAGGCCCCTCCCTACAGGGAGGAACAGCCCACCATCTGTCAAGTCCACTGCCACAGAAGTGGGAAGGGGAGCAGAACCCAAGGTTTCCTTGGTTGCTCAGAAAATGCAGAAATGGCATCAGAGGTGTGAGTGGGAGAGGCTTGGTGGGCAGACAGCCCAGGTCTGTGGTGCAGAATAGGCCACAGGAAGAGGGTGGGTGCCTGAGCAGGTTGCCAAGCAAGGAGCCCACTTAACAGGGTTGGCCCCCTCCTCTGGTCCCCCAGCACTTCCCCAGACCACCGTCAAGGTGGCCCAGCCACAAGAAAGGCACCAACAGGGCTCAGATCCACTGTTGGAGGGTCTACTGGGCAGTAGACAAAAGCTGTGCCCGCAGCCCTGGGTAGTGCCGCCCACAGGATGCCTCTGCTCAGGCCAGCAGGGTTGTCTTCACAGTTTCTGGAGTTACCTTTTCCCTAAGCTTTTCTGTTCATTTCTCCATGGCCACTATGTGTGAAGTTTGATCCCCACACAGCCATCTTCATTACTCCACTTTGATGCTAATGGTGACCTTAAGTATTTAGCTTCCTGGGCAGGGCCTATAGCTCAATAGGTAGGGCGCCAGCCCCATATACTGAGCGTGGTGGGTTCAAGCCCAGTCTCAGCCAAACTGCAACAAAAAAATAGCATTGTGGCAGGCGCCTGTAGTCCCAGCTACCTGGGAGGCTAAGGCAGGAGAATTGCCTAAGCCCAGGAGTTAGAGGTTGCTGTGAGCTGTGATGCCCCAGCAGTTTACCGAGGGTGACTGTCTCTAAAAAAAAAATATTCAGCTTCCCTTGGAAGGGGTCACAGCTTGGACACAGTGCCTTTCGCACACCCTGGCCATGGGAGCCTGGTTCTTAAAGCAGAAGAAGTGGCCACTGTGCCGGGCAGCAGCCTTCAGACATGGGCCAATGGCTCACACACATTCCCTTGTTTTAGAGAGGAAGGGACCGAACCCTGAAGCCCCATAAGCGTGTGAGGGTGGACGAGCTGCTGGTGTGTGTCTGGGGCCGGTACCTTCCAGAACTGCCTCCAGCTTTAGGCAGTGAGTTTGGCCAAACTGGCCACAGGGCACCTCAGGACTCAGTCTGGAGACTTACACCATGTTTAGGGGCTCATGTGCTGGGGCTGCTCATGTTAGGACCATCCTCCACCCGGCGTGTGCCTCCCTCCGCTGAGTGCCTGACGTGGCAGGTGTAACCTGCAGTTCACACAGGCAGCTGTCTGCACCCCATGCCGTGCAGGGCAGGGTCTCCACCTCCCCTCACGTGGGACATTTCTGCCCAGGCTTCTGTCTCCTCTGAGAAGTTCTGCCCATCATCATGTGACCTGTGCCATGTTTCAGGTGACTGGAGGGGTGTTAACTTGGACACTGCAGCTGCTGTCACCACCTGCCTGGGTGGAGTTGCTACGAAATTCCCTTCTTACTAGGCCTGGCTATTCTAGCCAGAAAGTGAGGTGTGGTATTCTAATTGC